TCTGACTGCACATTAATGTATAGTCTCTTGGCTCTGACCCTCATCTAACATATGAATTGGTTGACTTTGCTTTCTGGATTGACATACTGGCTATCGTTCTCGTACATCTTTAGATATGTGTAGCTTTTTCTGGAATTAGATCTCTGATAGTACTTGCAGTTCTTCATCCGTTCCTTCCTTTCACCCTGACAATCTCTTCCTCCTGCAAAGGAGGAAATTCTATATTTCATCATGGAATGCAATTAAAAACCAGAGTTCAGAATTCCTGCTGTTGTCCTTTTCTACTCTCACAAGGAAAACATATGATGGTGGTGATGATGATGATGATGATTGTGAGTATATGTGCAAAAAGGAATCAATCAGTCACCATTTATAAATAAATTTGTGAGAATCTATTCATGTATTTATTTGGGGGGAAAATATGAATAAGTAGATCTCCAAGCTACACCCAGAACCAGCTCTAGGCTTTCTTACAATGGCATATCTCTTAAGTATCCAGCCACTAATGTATTGTGGCTTCCACTCAGTAAATGTAGAGCTATTGCAATCTGGGAATAACTGCAGCTGAACTCTCTTAACAATTTCCGCAATCTTTTATAGTGAGACATTATGAGGTCAGCTCCACCTCCCTTGGAGGAGCTAATTGGATTACTAAAAAACTCACATCATCTAACTTTTCAGTCTTCAGACTTGAAAGCTAAGGAGCTGGTAGTTCTCTAATCTAGGGTATAGATAGATAATCTTGTAATGACTGTAGGATTGTAATGAACATAGATTGATTGATGAGGCAAAAACTGCTGTGGGTAGGGTAAAGAATGGGATATTTCCTGCCTCAAAATGACGGTAAGCCAGGCCATTGATGTTTATCAATCATGTTTGGAAGAATCTACAGGGATTGCAACAGCAGCTTTCAATCAGAATAGAGCTGGAAGGGACCTTGGAGGTCTTCTAGTCCAACCCCCTGCTCAAGCAGGAGACCCTATATCATTTCAGAAAGTTGGCTGCCAAGTCTTTTCTTTATAACCTCCAGTGATGAAGCATCTATAGCTTTTGAAGGCAAGCTGTTCCACTGGTTAATTGTCCTTGCTATCAGGAAGTTTCTCCTTAATTCCAGGTTGCTTCTCTTCTTTATTAGTTTGTATCCATTGTTTCTTGTCCTGTCCCGTGGTGTTTTAGAAAATAAGTTGACCCCCTCTTCTTTGAGGCAGCAAATACTGGAATATTGCTATCATGTCTTCCCTAGTCCTTCTTCTCTCTAGACAGGCCATATCCAATTCCTGCAACCATTCTCCATATGCATGTTCTTCACCTATGAGCTTATAGCTTCCTCTTTCCTATAGTTGTCCTCTCTGGAGGCCTCTGACCTTTCTTTTATCTTCAGCTCTCTTTATTTCAAAACTTCTGCCTTGAGCTACTTGTGCTCCCTCTGTGATCCTTCACTTGGTTCCAGAATGGGACAATACCCGGGGTGGGTTGCTACTGGCATTACTGCTGGTTTGGTGTGCAAAACTTTTTGCACAATTTTTTTTTTTGCAAAAATGTGTGCACATTTGCACCTAAAAAAGTCTGCACATGCGGACATTAGAAAAGGGGGAAATTACATTTTTGCAATGAAGATTGTTCTGCGCATGCACAGAACTAAAAATCAAGATGGTGCCGACAACAATAGAACTAGTTTGGGGCCTGGCAGGCTGAGTTACTCGGCCGAACCAGGCTGAACCTATAGGAACCCACCTCTGGGTAATACCATAGTACATAAAATAGTGCTCTCAATAAAATATGACCCGTTGCTGAGTTTTCCACACCATTTTAAAATATAATTTCTTGTATTATGTATCAGATGTCACTGCAATGATCATTCACATTCTTCCACCTCTGGCAAGGTCAAGAAAAACAGTAAAAATATGTGTGTTTTTTCCCTAGTAGAATTACAAAGGACAGTTCCATTTGCTCTGTGCATATTATTGATGAGCTACACAAAGGTGCTTTTTTTCAAGAGGCAACTGGCCTTTTTTGGTGTTTTTTTTTTTTTGTAGATGTTTTGCTTCTCATTCAAGAAGCTTCTTCAGCTCTATTGATGGAACAGGCAATGCCTATTTGGATATAGATTTATTAGATGTAATGGAGAAAGGGAATTCAATGCATTCTTTGTAATTTACGATCCCAGTTTATAAAATATGAGTCATCTTCAGCATAGCACTAAATGTCCAATAGATTAATACTGTATACAGATTTATAAACCTTGTGGAAAATTTCTGATTCTTACTTGATTGGTGATAAAATCTGCAGAAGATAGTAGTGCAACCATCCAAGATCATTCCAATGATAGTGGTTATTATTTTAATGCAGAAAGGTTCTCCTCCTACTGGGGTAGTTGTACACTTTATTTTAGTTGCAACGAAGTTTAGAACAGTTAGCAGTAGGGAGAAGAGTAAGAAGATTGTAATCCTGGGTTAAAATTGACTTATACATACATACATACATACATACATACATACAT